AAAAAAAAAAATCTTCAAAATGAGAACGAGGCTTAGATATAGTAATTCTCCTTTTGGAAATTTTTCTTGAGGGCATAATCAGCTATGTGTACAAAGATGTCATGTTATTTCCTATTACAAATTGTGCCACCATAAATTATAACAGTAAATAACATGAAAATAACCTAAATGTTCAACAGTAAGAAAACTGTTAACTAAACTGTGATATATTAATAAAAGTTATTAATAATCTCAGTGTTCAAGAATGAAAACTCAGAAAAATGCTGACTATATAATGTTAAGTTAAAAATGAGTCAACAGCTATATATCCAAAAGGACCCAAATTTTATAAAAGAACAATAAAAATGAAATGAAAAAATACTAGATTTAAATATTATTTGAACATTGTTTATTTTAACATTAACCATGGTTATCACTGGATAGTGAGAAAAGAAGTGCTAACATTTTTATTTTCTCTATTTTTCAAAAATTGTTTTACATTGAGCTTTTATAATAGTGAAAATACAATTAAGATAGTAATAGATAGTTTTTATAAGGTCTCTCCCATTAGCCTGAAAGGACTATGTTCATTTATATCCCTACTTCCTGTAGCATAGTGTGTAATGCTTTGTGAATCAATTAATGGAATTGACGATGACTATTTATTTACCCTAAACTCATTTTTCAAGACTCTCCAAATAAAGCTGTCTCAGCTTTAAATTGTCTGAGCTACTTTACTTCCTTCACTTCACATTCCTAACAAGTCATACTTTATTCTTTTAAATGCCAGGCCCTCAGCCAATGTTTTTATCACCATACTGCATCCATCCTGCATATCTCTGCCACAGTTATGGAAATTAAATAGGACTTTCTTCAAGTTTCCTATTTATTCTACCAGTCAAAACCTGAGATGGCTTCTACTGTCAAAGAAGAAAGTCACTAATTCTTAGCATTGGACCCTTAGAAGTCAAAGCCCAGTTCAGCTGCAAAGGTCCCTCAGCGCTCCCAGAGGGCCCAGCCTTCTGCCCATCACACAGGTAGAAGCTCAGTCTCCTCTCCAATAGTCACAGGGAACTCTTCCCCCCCAGGAGCAGTTTAAATTTACAGCTTGCTCTCACCTTCACTGGGAGACATATGACTTCCTACAGTTACAGTCAGTGTTGATAAGACTAATTCCTCTACCACATCTTCAAATGCCTGAAAGCAGATATCCTGTATCTCCCTAGGCTCTGCCCGAAACCTTTTTTGCAGTGTAACATATCTATTGTATTCAATGCATTCTTAAAATTTTAATTTTTATAGGAACCTTAAATAGGACTAGTATTCATTTCAACAATGCTTTCCAACATTTAGCAGTACAGAGGATCTTTAGAAAGCAGAAATGGGAGGTAATGTACCCATGGGAAATATAAGTCCATAATTAGTGCTGTTATGTGATGTTTGGCGCAGATCAAGTTATATATAGCATCATACCAGACAATGTTTTATGCAAAGAGCTTTTCCCTTAAATGCATCTATTTGATGTTAAGAAGAGTTCCAATGAAAAGAGCTATACATATCTGAGTGTTGCCATTAATTTTGCTGTTCATTATGCTTAGTGCTAGGCAGGTTGTCTATAAAATTTTGTGCTTAACAGTTAATCAGAATAATCTGGTACAATATACTGACTAGCTTTTAAAAGACAAGAACCTCTAGCATGGAATTTAGTAATTGCCGGGAAAATACAACTATAGAAAATGATTTTTTTTTTTTAGAAAACTATCTTTTTAATTTCTTCTTATTGCTAAACAAAATTGTTCAGATATTTAAAATATGTATTTTAAAAAAATGTATACACATTTTAAGAAAGGAAAAAAACTGTATTAAAATTGTAATACAATGAAATGATGCTAGCATTCATTTGATTAATGCCATCTTTTGAGTGTACGTGATACTACACATTGCTACTGTAATTCAATTCAACTTTGAAAAGTAATACATAAACAACATCTATTAAAATGTGTACATTTTTGGCAATCCCTGTATAATTCATAAACATTTCTTGAAAATCAAGTCTATATAAGATATTATGGTGTGAGGTCTGACAAAAATATAAATTAGTGTGAGATGTAATACTCAAAAATATACAACTAATTGGTGAGGGGATGCATGCACATGTAAAATTACATTATAATGCAGGAGTTAAAACATAATAAATCTCAAATGGCTAGAAATGTGATTAGATAGAGAAAAATTAGAATTCCCGATGAAGAGAATATATTGAAGAAATCAAGAGGCTGGGAATCCATATACAATAATGGTTAGCAAACCAATCATGAATAGTAGTAGAAGATGAGATTGCAAATGAGGATGAAGAGAGATTATGGAAATCTAAATATTGGAGGAAGGAATTTGAACCTTATCCTTTAGACAACAGAGACTCAACGAAAGTTTTGGGCAGGAAAATGATTAAGATTCATGTGTTTGACACATAAATCCAGGTGCCTTAGGAGGATGATGGAGAAATTGTGCTGTATATACTCAATGAGCTAGAATTATATATTATCAACATGGATGAATCTAACAAAGATAAAGTTGATCAAAAAAAGCAAGTCACAGAAGAATACATATAATATGATGCTTTTCATATAAACTGAAAATATGCAAAGCAATGCTGTATAATGGTTCAACACAAACATACAGGAAGTATGTTTGTACAGCATTGTACATCTGTGATGATATTCACCAAATTCAAGATGGTGGCTACCTTGGCTGGGGCTGGGGACCAATAAGAGAGAACACAAGAGGGATTTAACTAGGCAGGCAGCTTTGTTTTATTTTTAAGCTGGGTGATTTTATACAAGTGTTCATTCTTTTATTCTTTATACCTTTTCGATTATGATGGCAGTGGAGTTCCGAAAGGGAGAAAGACAGCCTGAAAGCTGCCTGAGTATCTGGCATGTCATTGAAATAAGTGCACAAGACAATTAAAGTTTAAAGTAAGGTGGTAGTGATAAGCTTGGCAGGAAAGGAATGGTTGTGCACTACAAAGAGCACAAGACTGGTGCCTGATCGTGTGTGATGGGTAGGACAGTATAAAAATGAAAACCTTTCTCAGGAGAGCAAATGTGACAGCTCTTCCCACTCCTTGTTTAGTGACGCACCACTGAGAGCTGGAAACCAACCTTTGTAGTATTTGCACCACAGGTTTCTACATATGGTAGAAGGCTGCTAGAAATCTTACAAGCTGCAAATCTGGACTCTTTTCTTGTTTTTGTTTCTGAGAGTCAGCTTACCAGCACACTAGTGTTTATAACCCATTTATTGAAATTGAAAAAGATAAAAAGAAAGGGAGTTAGTATGTAAGCAATCGAGAACAAAGTTGCTCCTCATTTCCAGCCTAGGCGCAAGGTTAAAAAAGTCTTTGATCTACTAGCTTTATTGACATCAATTATTTTCATAAAGAGGAGACTATTCTGTGAAAAATACTTTACATACAAAGCCACTGAGAAAATCTACTTCCAATTTTCCCTTAAATGTCTGGGGTGAGGTTCCATGCACTAAGTTACTGAGTATCATGTTCCTAAGATGACAACAGCACAGCAGGGAAAGGAAAAGTGAGTTATTTTCAAATAGAAGTGGCTCACCCAGTGTCTCCCATTATGCATCCAGACCACGTGTCCTCACATTTACACTCACCTAAGAGAAAATGAATACACATGCCTGATTACAAAGTAAAACCAGGTTCCTATCTTTAAAAGTATATTTTCACTCTGACCCTATTATATAATTTTTACTAAACTTAAATCTTTTTGATATTTTAACAAGTGGTCATATTTTTAAAACATTCACTTAAAATGGCTTATACAAAACACAATCAAAAGCCAATAAAACAGTGATACACCACTACAGGATCATGGATTCATAAGTCTTTATGAGAATTCCAACAACTTCTTGTCCATTTTTAAAAGCCTCTACACCAGTGGGTCTCAACCTTCCTAATGCCACGACCCTTTAATACAGTTCCTCATGTTGTGGTGACCCCCAACCATAAAATTATTTTCATTGCTACTCTATAACTGTAATTTTGCTACTGTTATGAATCGTAATANTTTCAGAAAGCACTCTTATTTCTACCTGCCTTCTATTCCACATCACAATAGCCCCAAATGCTCAAGATCAAAGCTGACTTTAAAAATGCAGATATTCAGCAAATCTAGACTATGTACATATAAGCCAAGTTGAAAAGCTCTCTTACGAGATTCAATGGTTGAAAATGTGTTTTTATTATATAGAAAGATAAATAACGAGTAGCTCTGATCACGCTTATTACCTTAGAAGGTTTGTTGAAAAGGCAGGCACCACCTCCACTATTTAGGAAGTCATGAAACTCTTCAATATTACACTGGGTGAACTTCTTGGGAAGATAATAGCTTTAAGAGAGAAGAAAAGTAATAGCTGAGTACAATTTTTGTCTCCCTTGTTTGTAAATCAATCTTAAAATTGAACATTGTTAACATTTTACATTTTCTTAAAAATGAAAAAATAAATTCTACTTAGGTACATTTGCATTCAATCCCTAAGAGTTTATTCCATCAGTATATTTCCAAATTTTTCATTTGGTGACTAATGGTAACTATGTGCATACGTTCTTCATTATGTGCAAACATATTCAAAAGAAACACATATCGTACCTGTAATTTTGATCAAAGAGGGTTAGGAATAATTTGTTTTGCAATAAGTCTTTCCTAAATATTACTAGGCTGGAACCCAAACTGCAAAGCATTCTACAAAATAACTGACCTATAATCTATGAATGTGTCAAGGTCATGAAAGTCAAAGAAAGGCAGGAACTTCCAGACTGAAGGAGTCTAAAGAGACATAAAAACTACTGCAATTAGGGCCAGTCTTGAATGAGGGCTAAGAATTAGATGATTTTTCTGATTGTACTGTGGTTTTGTAGGAGGATATCCTTTTTTGTAGAAATGCACATTAAGCTTTTGGGGGTGATGGACACCAAGTTAGCAACTTACGACTCTGGGACAAAAAGTTTCTTTGTTACTACTCTTGCAACTCTTCAAGTTTCAAATTGTTTCAAAATAAAAAAAAAATTGTATACCAAAAAAAGTAATACAATAATAAAAGGTCAACAGAAAAAGAAACTTGACTATAGAGCAATTTGGCAACATGCATTAAGAATCTTCAAAATGAGTGCCGGCCGAGTGGCGCGATGGTTAAGAACTCGCTTGGGATGCCAGAGGGCCCCGGTTCGGATCCCACATATGAGGGCCAGTGACACTGCCCTC